AGGGGAAAGGGGGGAGAAGGGGGAAGGAGGGGGAGGGGAGGGAAGGGGATGGAGAGGGGACCCGGGGGGGTGCGAGGGGGGAGAAGGGGGAAGGAGGGAGTGTGGATGGGGAAGCGGAGAGGGAAAAGTGTGTTTCCTTACCTCCCACCTTTACGTATGCACTTTTTTTTCCCCCTTTAGTATTCTTCTGTTTTCTAGTGTTGCTTTGATTTTTTTTCCCCCCCTTCTTCTTTCCTAAGTGCTATTCTTCTGTTTCCGTCTGTGCTTTTTTGTTTGTAATTTACTGGCGAAGCCGCAACAGGTCATCTAGTGATGGTCTTTGCCACAACCACCACTCTTTTGCCCAGGCGAAGTCCAGTTTCCGGGAATCTGATTAGAGTTGCCACTCTGCTGCTGTTTGTGTCATGTTGACTAATTGCAGGACCATTTTGGCTCACGTTTAGATGACCCCAAGGGTGAACTCTCAAAAACAACCAAGTTTCTTTACAAGCTTTTCCCGACGAGAATCAGTGTGCAGCCACCTCAAGTAAGCATCGAGAAATCGAGAATGTTATGTTGGCGTCTCAGCTTCCTGCCATGCAGATACGCGAGGTTGAAAATGACATGTTGGCTTTCCAGGCCTGTCAAATTGCTTTGCAGCATTCTGATCCCATCATTCTTCTGTTGAACCCAAGGGATCGTTTGGGTTCTGCCTGCAATGGTGCTATGAGTCTTATAATGCATTATAACTTTGACAAGTTAATAACACGACGGTCCCTCTCTGGTTGTAAAGCTTGCCGCACTCTTGATGTTGATGATGGCCAAGAGGGTGTGAGTGCCGCTTGTATCTGTGGGTGTCGATTGAAGAATCACTGCCGTATGAGCATGTCTGCGAGTGAAGTCCTGACCTTGTGCAATATTGCTCAGCAGGCGCCGCTAGTAGAAAATTGCCCCCGTCTTGTGGAGGATTGTTCGTCACCTAACTCCGAAAAAGTCGGAGCCGGCGCACCGTCGATAAAGTAAATCGGCGTTGTCTTGTTTCAGCCTTTGAAACGGGCGCACGGCCGATGTGTTGCATGTACTGGCGGTTTAGTTCAAATAGCAGCGCAGGCTGCACAGTGTAAAATACAAATGTGACATCATTTTCGATATGGTAGATAACACAGTCAGTAAGACGTTGTCGTGAATGAGCGTAGCTGCGTAGGCGAATAATGTGTGATATGTATACCGCCTGAACGTTTGAAGTTGGAAGTATGTGGTATTCTAGAATTCGATGGACGTTTCGAAGCCCTGGTTAGCAATGTGGCGGTCATTGCCATCACGAGTTCTTTACAGCCATACAAAATGTGACGGTTTGGTTTTGCGTTTTGAAGAACATCAGAGTAGGGTGAGAAGTGTGCTTGTGGCTGTTAAGGCTTCGGTTGCTGTATTAGTGGTGTTGGCAGGCATATGCGATTTGGGTCAGGTGCGAACGTGTAACGAGCGGTAGGCTGAGGGGAACAGGGAGAGCCGAGGGAGAGGAGAGAGGGAGAGAGTGAGAGCACACACACACACTCACTCACTCGACACGACTGAGGGTCGGACGCAGACACACGGGCAAGGACACAAAGTCAAAGTCTTGGATTCCGAATGCCGAACAGGAGCAAGTTACACTGAGTACGAGTACAGAAGCAGAAAACTGGTATGAGACTGGTCTCCGTACCGTACGGGGAGCCGGTATAAGTACCGGTGACACGAACGGTACCAGGGGCATGTCTGAAAAGGCCCCCGAGGGCAGAACTGAAAAATGTGGTATTTGAAAGTGGCGCCCGAATTGCAGCATGGCGCCAGTTGTCCAAAATCCTACGGTACCAAAGGAGGGGTTTGGAAAAGG